CCTGGGCAACTTGGTGAGCCCTCATCTCTACAATAAAAATCAAAAAATTAGCCGGGCATGGTGGCACGTGCCTGTAGTTTCAGCTACCTTGAAGGCTGAGGCAAAAGGCTTGCCTGAGTTCAACAGGTCGGGGCTGCGGTGACTGTGAGCGTGCCACTGCACTCCAGCCTGGGTGACAGAGTGAGACTCCAACACACACACACACACACAAAAAAAGATGGAGGAGGGTCTTCCAAATGTCTGGATAAAGGAAGTTGCAATGAAGAGGAAAGAAATAAAAGGTAGATAGAAAAGCCTGAAAGGTTGAAATGGCATCAGATGCCTTTTTGATTGACAGCACTAAATACTAGTCATGAAGGGAGCAACATCTAGAAACTTCTAAAAGAAGATGAATGCGAATCTAAGATTCTATCCCAATCCACCCTAGCAGTCAAATGAGAGGGAAAGAGGACACCCCGGCTTTCTGAAAATCATTCAAGGATGTACTGTAGAAAATAAAATGAGCCGGGCTTGGTGGCTCAGCCTGTGGATTGCCTGAGCCCGCGGGTTCAAGACCCACCTGGGCAGCGAGACCTCATCTCTACAATAAATAAAAAAATCAGCCGGGCATGGTAGCGCATGCCTGTAATTCCGGCTACTTGGAAGGCTGAGGCGGAAGGATCGCCGGAGCCAGCAGGTCGAGGCTGTGGTGGCCGGGAGCGGCCACTGCACTCCAGTCTGGGCGACAGAGTGAGACTCCAACTCAAAAAAAAAAAAAAAGAAAAGAAAAGAAAATGAAGCATACATTAAGAATGGGAGCGAACAAGTAACATGTATATTTAACTATATGATATATGATACTTTTAACAATAAATCATAATATGGAATTAAAGTCTCAAAGTAGGCAGGATTATCTAGCAGAAAGAACACAGGCTCTGAAGTTTCAAATCCCGACCATGGCACTGAGAGTTACTGAAATGCTCTCAGCCTCCAGTTCCTTCATATATAAAACAGTGATAGTACAAACCTCAAAGGATTATTGGGCTCAAAAGCACAATCCTTGTAAAGCACATAGCACAATGCATGTATGTATATGTATCATAATATGTTATAAAATGAGAAATTCCAACATGGGATGTCGGAGTGGGGAAGAAGAGGTAAGTGATAGCTTTGCCTTCAGAAAGGGAAGAAGCCGGGCACAGTGGCGCCCACCCATAATCCCAGCACACTGGGAGGCCCAGGTGAGAGGACTGCCTGAGCTCAGGGATTTGAGACCAGCCCGGGCAACTTGGCGAGACCTCATCTCTACAATAAATCAAAAAATTAACCAGGTGTAGTGGTGCATGCCTATAGTCCTAGCAACTTGGGAGGCTGAGGCAGAGGGATCACCTGGGCCCAGCAGGTCGAAGCTGCTGTGGCTGCGAATGTGCCACTGCACTCCAGCCTGGGTGACAGAGTGAGACTCTGACTCAAAATATATATATATATATACCACAGACTGGGTGGCAAACAGAAATGTATTTGTCACAGTTCTGGAGACTGAGAAGTCCAAAATCAAGGCACTGGCAGAGTCCATGACTGGCAAGAGCCCACCACCTAGTCGGCCATGTTTTTGCATTAGCCTCACATGGCAGAATGGGGCAGAGATCCCTGGGGTTTCTCATAGGGACACTAATCTATTAATGCAGGCTCTACCCTCATGATTGAATCACTTCTCACAGGCCTTTCTTAGTAATACTATTACCACTGTAGGATATTGCAGTGGTAGTTTTTGTTGTTGTTGTTGTTGTTTTTGAGTTGGAGTCTCCCTCTGTCACCCAGGCTGGAGTGCAATAGCACACTCATGGCCACCACAGCCTCGACCTGCTGGGCTCAAGCAATCTTGACCTGCTGGGCTCAGGCAATCCTTTCTGCCTCAGTCTCCCAGGTAGCTAGGACTACAGGCTTGCACCACTATACCTGGCGAATTGTTTTATTTTTTGTGGAGACAAGGTCTCACTATGTTGCCCAGGCTGGTCTTGAACTCCTGAACTCAAGCAATCAATCCTCTTACCTCAGCCTCCCAGAGTGCTGGGATTATAGGCATGAGCCATGATGTCTGGCCTTTATATTATTTATTTTCTGTTTATTTATATTACCTAAGGCCCAAAATGGCTGCTGAGGAAATGTTTATATTCTAATAGTGTATTTTAGAATATATAAAGCAAAGATTATTATACTGTACAAGAAATTGAGCCAGGCACTATAATCCCAGCACTTTGGGAGGCTGAGGCAGGAGGATTGCTTGAGCCCAAGAGTTTAAGACCAGCCTAGGCAACATAGCAAGACCTTGTTTCTATAAAGTAAAAAATAAAAAAAAAATTAGCTGGGTGTGGTAGCATGCACCTGTAGACCTAGCTACTCAAGAGGCTGAGGTGGAAGAATTGTCTGATCATGCATCCAGCCTAGACGACAGAGTTTTAAAAAAAAAAAAGGAAAAAATAAATAAACTGACAGATCCACATCATCTTAGGAGACTATCACACTTCTCTGAAATTATAGCTTGGATAAGCCAAAATCAGTAACAAAATGAAAAATTTGACAGCTAGACTGGTAGACATTTATACAACTTTGTCCCTAAGCCAGGCTCGGTGGCTCAGCCTGTAATCCCACGCCCTTGGGAGGCCGAGGTGAGTGGATTGCCTGGGTCCACGGGTTTGAGACCCGCCTGGGCAACTTGGCGAGACCTCATCTCCACAATAAATCAAAAATTAGCTGGGCGTGGCAGCGTGCGCCTGTAGTTCCAGCTACTTGGAAGGCTGAGGCGGAAGGATCGCCAGAGCCCAGCAGGTCGAGGCTGCGGTGGCTGGGAGTGGCCACTGCACTCCAGTCTGGGCGACAGAGTGAGACTCCATCTCAAAAAACAAAAACAAAAAAACAAAAAACTTTGTCCCTAACAGAGAACACACATTTTTTTTTCAAATTTCTATGGAATATTCACATAACCTGACCAGTTCCTACAAGCAGAAATCTATTTATTTTTTATTTTTTGAGTTGGAGTCTCACTCTGTCTCCCAGGCTGGAGTGCAGTGGCACACTCATGGCCACCACAGCCTCGACCTGCTGGGCTCAAGTAATCCTTCCGCTTCAGTCTTCCAAGTAACTGTAACTACAGGCACACGCCACCACACCCAGCTAATTTTTTTGATCTATGGTAGAGATGAGGTCTCACCACGTTGCCTAGGCTGGTCTCAAATCCGTGGGCGCAGGCAATCCTCTCACCTCAGCCTCCCAAAGTGCTGGGATTATAGGTGTGAGCCACCACACCCAGTCTAACATAAATCTTACACTTCACATTCTGGACCAAAATGCACGACAATCAGAGCACAAAACTCAGAGTGTTGTTGTGAGCAACGAAAAGCCCACACTCCTCCCTCACCAATTCCATCTACTTCGACACTTAAAAACTATCCTTTTAAATAACTTGAGTTAAGAAGGAAATAACAGGCCACAAGGCTGTGGTGGTTGTGAGCAAACCATAGCACTCCAACCTGGGAGACAGAGTGAGACTCCAACTCAAAAAAAAAAGAAGGAAATAACAACTACAAATCATTTGGAAAGGAATGACAATGTAAAGATTATATATGAAACCTGTAAAGCCAGGCATCATGACTCACATCTATATTCCCAGCACTTTGGGAGGCTGCGGCAGGAGGATTACTTGAGCCCAGGAGTTCAAGACCAGTCTGGGCAACATAATGAGACCTCGTTTCTATAAAAATAAAAGTAAGCCTGTAAATTACTTCCAAAACAGTATTCAGAAAAGATATTGGTTTACATGCATTTTCTAGAAAATAATAAAAGTTGGCTAATCAGGCATGGTGGCTCATGCCTATAATCCCAGCACTTTGAGAGGCCGAGATGAGAGGGTTGCTTGAGTCCAGGAGTTTGAGATCAGCCTGGGCAGCATAGCCAGACCATGTGTCTACAAAAGAAATCTGAAAACTAACCAAGTGAGGTGGTGCACAGTCTGTAGTTGTAGATACTAGGGGGCTGAGATGCAAGGGTCACCTGAGCCCAGGAAGTCAAGGCTACAGTGAGCCGTGATAGCACCACTGCACTCCAGGCTGGGCAACAATTGAAAACAAAAAAAGGTTGACTGGGCTCAGTGATTCACACCTGTAATCCCAGTATTTTAGAAGGCCAAAATGGAAGGAATGTTTTGGTCCAGGAGTTCAAGACCAGCCTGGACAACACAGTGAGACCTCATCTCTAAAAAATCAAGTGAAAAAACTGGAAAATAAATGAATTGAGCATTTAGGGAACTAGACAAAGATCAGTAACATACACTCAAAGAAAGTTAAAGAAAATTAAAGCAAAAAACAATGTGACAGAGGAAAAAAAGCAGATTTGCTCAATAAA